GGCGATTGAGCACTTATCATGGTGACCAAAACTTGCAAACCTGAGTTTAACCATACATTCCAAAATGCCTGTCTTATCATTGTTCTTTGTGGCACAGGTTTGGTGACCAAAACATATTGTGCTCTGGTCTCATTTTGGAACTCAGAGTAAAGATTTTATCACTATAATTAAACATTTTTAGTTGAATTTTCACAATCTGAGTTGGAGACTTTACAGATTTTAATCTCAAACTTGAAAATGTCAGTGTCAAGCTACGGGTGTGAATAAACTTACCTTGCCATGGCTAAATAAATCTTCAAGAAAATAAATGCCTTAGTACTTGTGTATTATGTGTTAGTCTGTACATAATCTTAAAGTGTGATTTCTATAGTTCTCAAGTACAGCTTTGCTGGATAAGACTGCCAAAGAGTTTGCAAGTACCGAAGAAGATATTGCAGTCTTTTGCCGTTTCCTAGCAACGGAGATCTGCTCCTGTTTTCTCATCACAAGCAAGCAATTTGTATAAAATCTGTTGTGTTTCAGGGCAGTCATGTGTCAACAAAAGCATAGCTTTGCACCGCAAGAAGTCTCCCACTATAAACACAGTCATGAAAGTACTGTAATAAATGCAGAATTAAATGTTGATCTCCTACAGTGCTATTTTTAGTTGGTTCTTAAATTGTAGTTTTTTAATGTCTGTGAGCGTGACAATGGAAGATAACTTGGGAATAGCCTTAATTCTTCCTCCAAAAAATTAGAATTGTAATTTTATCATGAGATGAGGGAGACAGTGACATCCATTCACGTGCTTTGATAAAGCATCTGTGGACAAATTGTAGACATCATTTATAGCATTGGTATTTGGAATGCTAAATGTTTCTGGTTTTGAGAAAGGAGTGTGGAAATATAATTCTGCTACCACAATGAAGCTTTTCTAGTCTACTTCACAATTGTATCACCTGCAGGATTTGAACAAAGTAAAAGTAAAGGTTTCCCCTGACATTAAGTCTTGTTGTTCATTCGTTCAGTCGTCTCCGACTCTTCGTGACCTCATGGACCAGCCCACGCCAGAGCTCCCTGTCGGCCGTTACCACCCCCAGCTCCTTCAAGGTCAGTCCAGTCACTTCAAGGATGCCATCCATCCATCTTGCCCTTGGTCGGCCCCTCTTCCTTTTGCCTTCCACTTTCCCCAGCATAATTGTCTTCTCTAGGCTTTCCTGTCTCCTCATGATGTGGCCAAAGTACTTCAACTTTGTCTCTAGTATCTTTCCCTCCAGTGAGCAGTCGGGCTTTATTTCCTGGAGGATGGACTGGTTGGATCTTCTCGCAGTCCAAGGCACTCTCAGAACTTTCCTCCAACACCACAGCTCAAAAGCATCGATCTTCCTTCGCTCAGCCTTCCCTAAGGTCCAGCTCTCACATCCGTAGGTTACTACAGGGAATACCATGGCTTTGACTAGGCGGATCTTTGTTGCCAGTCTGATGTCTAGACATTAAGTCTAGTCGTGTCCAATTATGGGGGGTGGTGCTCATCTCTTCCTATGAACCATCTAGTGTTTAAGATTGTCTGGAGAGGCCCTGCTCTCAGTCCCACTTTCTTCGCAGATCCGATTGGCGGGAACGAGAGACAGGGCCTTCTCAGCGGTGCCCCCCCCCAGCTATGGAACACCTTCCCTAGGGACATTAGGTCGGCCCCCTCCCTCCTGACATTTCGAAAGAGTTAAGACCTGGCTGTTCGAGCAGGCATTTGCAGGCGCAAAAAACTGATTGAAACTCATGGAACAACAGGACGATGCGATGGAAAATGATTTTAATGATGAGACACTGAGAACTGTATTTTATGATTTTAATTGTTTATTTTTTATTGTTTTTCTACAGTTTATATTATATGTAATTGTTTTTGACTGTATTTTATCTTGTGGGGCATTGATTGCCAAATGTAAACCGCCTCGAGTCGCCTCCGGGCTGAGAGGGGTGGTATACAAGTATAGTAAATAGATAAATAATAAATAAGCTGAAGAGCTTGAATTGACTGTGGACACCTCCAAGGTCACGTGGCTGGCATCACTGCATGGAGCACCTTTACCTTCCCACAGAAGCAGTTCCTATTTATCGACTCACATTTGCATGTTTTCAAACTGCTAGATTGTCAGAAGCTGGGGCTAATAGCAGGAGCTCACCCCACTCCTCAGATTCAGACCGCCAACCTTTTGGTCAGCAAGTTCAACAGCTCAGTGGTTTAACCTGCTGCACCAGCGGGGCCCTAGGATTTGAATAGGTAAAGGTAAAGGTAAAGGTTTTCCCCTGACATTAAGTCCAGTCATGTCCAACTCTGGAGGTTGGTGCTCTTCTCCATTTCTAAGCCAAAGAGCCAGCGTTGTCTGTAGACACTTCCTAGGTCATGTGGCTGGCATGACTGCATGGAGCACCGTTACCTTCCTGACGGAGCAGTACCTATTGGTCTACTCACATTGGCATGTTTTTGAACTGCTAGGCTGGCAGAAGGGGCTAGCAGTGGGAGCTCACCCCGCTCCTCGAATTCGAACCTGCAACCTTTCAGTCAGCAAATTCAGCAGCTCAGCGGTTTAACCCACTGTGCCACCAGAGGCTCCTGGATTTGAATAGTTCTCCCAAAAAGTAGGGAAGCCCCTTAGAAGAGCATTGGCTAAGCCATGTAAGCCTACTGTGATATCTGAGAATCAATACAAATTACAATAGAGTTGTCTCCCAGTCATGCTGAGCAGTCATTGAGATGAGTCATTTCCTTGAGGTATTCAACAAATGCGCCAATCTTCAGTAAGGAGAGGAAGCTAGCAAAGAAACTTCCATAAAGTCACCTAAAGAGGTCTCAGCAGAGATGTGATTTCCTCATTCACACCTCAAGCTCCTAGTCACTGTGCTATTTTTCTGGCTCCGTAACACGACATGCCTGAATAAATGCCTTAATTCTGAAGTGCAAAGAAACCTTGAGCAGAAACACTAAGAATAAGATCCTCCTCAAAGCCACTTCCATTAATGCAGACACAAGAGAATTGTTATATTGATTTGAACTTTCCATTATGGCACCATGTGTTTCATAAACCATTCCACCTACTTCTCACAGCATTTGAGGTATTATTTTTTTAAAGCCGCTAATTCACGATGAACATATTCAAAGTGGCAGATACATTCCTGAGGCTGAATAACAGCTAACACAAAGCAAGTTTGCTTGGAAAACTCCCCACACGCATTTACAAATGGGAAACAATAAAGTTCATGGACAATAAGGTTCTTGGAAGTTCTGGGCATCATAACTTTGCCAAGTTACATAAAAGATTCAAATGAGGATCATTAATTGATCATGATAATAATCACATGAATTCTTTATGTGAACTATTAAGACTACATCACTTTAACTGCATACTGGCTCCCAATTTGCCATTTGTGTAAAGATTCTCTGCAAAAAAAACAGACTCTGGGTGTTGCTGCCCAATCAACTCTTTGTATGTGGAGGACTCTTTCTTACAGATTTCTGACAGGAAGGTGTTAGTGGAAGAAGGAAAGTGCATAATATTTTTGCAAGTTCAGCATCACAGCACTGGAAGTCCTCTCACAGAGGCTGTTTCAATTAATTCGACTTCAATCAGCATCATCTATGATGAGGTTTAACTACAAGTGAGGGATGGGATGGGGTCAAAGAACAGAAGATGCATAATACTTATTTCTGGTACTTCCAAGATGGAAGATAACTCGAAAGAGGCAAGAATGGTATATCCTCCGCACAGCTATGGTTGAATATGTCTAAAAATATACACAGGAATTACCATTTCTCAATGTTATGGATTGGCTTACATGACAATCCTCACAGTACATATGTTTGGTGAGTAAAATCGCATGTTTAAGGTTTTCACTCATTTAAAAATACAAAATATGGCAAGTTTTTCCTTCATATTGTCCCATAAAATTTTCATATAATCACTGGAAAAAATGATCCTTAAAGCAATTTTTATATTTTTAATTGGTTTTTCTCCACAAATATTCACAAAATTGTTGCAGTTCTTAAACTGGATCAAAAGACAGAATGTTCCTCACTGCCCACTGACAAAATGTAAACATTCATAGATACTAGGGGTGTGCAGGCGTACTGTATTTGGGAAATGCAGGCATTCTGGCTAGTGAATCCCAAAAACGGCCATGGCATGGGCCAGCTGTAGCCTTAGCCAAAATGGATCACAGAATTTGACTGATACACGTTGTATTGGAATGCACATTCTACTGTATTAGTGTGCAAATAGACTCCGTCCATGCACAAGCATTATCACCGAGAACAATAGATACTATACTCATTTATTATTATACTCATTTATTTATTATCACTAAGGCTCCTTCTATTTTATCACAATATTTTCTGCAGAACCCCCTTTTAGTAATTATTCATTATGGTTAGTAACTGAAAACACAAGACTTCTTTGTTGTGTGCGTATTAAGATTCTATACAGGGATAAATAATTTATATTTTTAAATTGCATTCGTTTGGCAGTTTGAGACTGGAGAAAGATGTGAAAGCCGAGGACAGACAGGGGACTGAATTCTATTCTATTACTAACCTGCTCACATTATTCTCACAACTATCGAGAGGGCTGGAGAGGTATCATGCTTACACACTTTGATTTGGGGGGGGGGGGTTGTGTTTATTTATATACTATACATCCTGGAGGAGACTGTCTATTGGTTTTTTCCAGGGTGGGCATTGAATCCCAACCCAAGAGCCCCACGACCAGCTATGGGAAACTGAATTGCTGGCCAATGATAGTCTGGGTCGAATTACTTGTTTAAAGGAGCTGTTCTATCATTAGCTGTGAGGGAATGCTGGACTCTCTCAGCAGAAGGGCTGGAATGTATTTCTGCTGTACATTATCTGCTGCATCAGACAGTATATTAGGTTTTTTTCCAGTTTGAATGCAATGTTGCCATTTAAAAAAACTGAGTCCAACTAAAAAGAGACATGAGGCTCAGAGCAAAATAGGAAGAAAAATACTTACTGCCAGGGCTTTTGACAACCTGGTTCTGTAATTGTTCATGAGGATGACAAGGAAATCCTGTTGAGGGACATAGGCATAACCGCCGTAGAAGTAAACTCTTTTTACACGAACCAAATCTGCAGAATCGCTGAAAGGAACCTGAATATGAAATGTTGATAGAGATGTAATCAATAAAGGACTGGGTAAAGGTAATAGCTAAACAGCATTATACAACATCCGAATACACCCAGATCCAATAAAACCAGCAAATAAAATGTCAGAATGAAGGGATTCTCCTTAACATAGGAGATATAATGTGGAAGTCTGACCAACTCTAAATGATTATCCTTGAGATATCACAAAATGTCCATTTTCTAACTGCATTAATATATGGATTGTATTCCGGAAACATGAATTAACTTGATTTTTGGATTAATATCTTTTCTCATATCTGAAAAGGGCCCCTGTTTCAAACTCAAGATGATAAAAAGAAAATGCTTCTGGAGACATATTTAATAAGACACATTCTTTCATGAGCCATCTTTTCTGAGAAACAGCCATACGGTTGTTTTCAACACTCTACAGTGAACACTCACTATCTTTTGACTATATTAGAAAAGAATAGCTTACATATCACTAGTTAACACAAATTTAGAGACACAGTACTAGCTGAGGAGTCTAGTCCATCCCTAGGTCATTTTTTGATGCTGTTGGATATTCCCATTAATTCTGAGGCCTCTTACACACAGCTGAGTAAAATACCACATTTTCTGCTTTGAACTGGAATATATGGCAGTGTGGACTCGGATAACCCAGTTCAAAGCAGATATTGTGGGATTTTCTGCCTTGATATTCTGGGTTATATGGCTGTGTGGAAAGGCTCTGAGATACTATTCCAAAATAACAGAGTCAACAAGTCCAACTTTGAGAAATTTCTTCCCACAGAGCAATTGCGCAGGGCAATTCTTCTCACAAAGTGTTTTTCTATAGATGTCCTGCATGTTTTTTTTATTTTTAAAAAACTTGAATACTTAATGTTCATCAAGGAAAAGTCCTTCATCTACTTATCAGCACAGAAATTGGTAGCTGATTATGTGTATAGAGAGATTGGTAGGTCAACCATCAATTTTCTTTGAAACACATTTGTCACATGTGAACTTTTTGCCTAAGTCAGTGCTTCTCAACTTTCTTAATTCCACAACTCCTTAATACAGTTCCCCATGTTGTGGTGACCCCCAATCATAAAATAATTTTCATTGCTACTTTCATAACTGTAATTTTGTAACTGTTATGAATCGTAATGTAAATATCTAATATGTAGGATGTATTTTCATTCACTGGATGAAATTTTGCACAAATACCTGATACACCCAAATTTGAACACTGGTGGGGTTTGGCCGGGGGGGGGGGGCTTTGATTTTGTCATTTGGGAGTTGTAGTTACTGGGATTTATTTATACAAAAAAATCTATTACAGTCTCTATAGTGTTGCTTACCAGATAGAAGACATTATGTGTGATGTCTGCATCATTAAAACCAGGAGTTGCACTTCGCAGGTCACTTCCAATTGCTTCCTTCTCAGTTTCCGAAACCTAAAAATAAATGTTGTAACTGATATTATTGTATGTTAAAGCTTCTTAGATCACTATGAAAAAAACAAATGGTACATCAAAGCTAAACTGAGTAAAAATGTGAAAATCAGGTGCACAACTGTCAAAAAAGAGTAAACAATTCTCATGTAAAACAAATAATGGATATGCAATGGACAAACAGCTCTACAACCATCTAATATCCCCTCCACTCTCACTCTGGGAGGTAATCACTTCCATTTTAGTTCAACCATGGTTTGTTACGTCATCCTGATGAATAACCTCTGGCTAACATGGATTCTAGTTATTTTCAAGCAAGGGAACCTAAAACCATGACTTATGAAGCTGGCTTGTTTTCGAACACCACCATTCATGTTAACCCAGCTCCAAAGTAACTACTTATTACTCACGACATGTTAAACTATGATCTAATGTGACATTTGAACACAGCCATTATCTATTCAGCTATATGAGAAAAAGCGTGAAAATAATTGTTTGACACCCTGTTGGAAAAAATGCAAATATAAGTAAAATAATTTAAAGGAAAATGGTGTTAAGAAGCTGTGCTCTCTTTTTCTTTATATATCCCAAACAGACTTCTAAGCATATGGCCTAAATTCAGTTGCTAGTCCTATTTACAGCAGACTCACTGAATCCATAGAATTTATGTAAATGCTGATTTATCATCCAGTAAATTGTTTGGGAGTTGTTTGTTATGGCCTTCTACACATATGATATCAGCATTTTTGTATATGGAAAATATATGAATGATGCACAATCATCTTCTGAACAATTAACAATCGTTTAACAACAGATTCTGTAGTTGTCCAATTGATTAATCACACTTTTCTCATTGGACCAAATCTCAAAGGAATAACAGCATTTTTCCTCTTTTTAAAATAATAGACTAAATGTTGCTCTTGCACTCTCTTTTCTTTCTTAACAATATGATTTGTAAGTACCCACCAAAGAGGTGTCAAACTAGAAAGCATATTCTCAACCACTTCATGCAGGGCTACATTTGGCAGCATGTACCTATTTAACCCCGGTCACCCACCTAGCCAGCCGGCTCTCATTCCATGATGTTGGTATGGGTCTGTGGGTGAAAGAGGGTGGAGCCAGTACATGCCACTGCCCCGGCAACACAGGAGGGCTCCCATGTTGCCATTGCAATGCATGGGGGAAGCCATGAGCACAATGTGCACTCACGCTTCCCCCATCTTATTGCCTAGGCTGGACTGGGCAATGTAAGGCATGGAGCACTAGGTTCCTCACACCCCTCTATGAAGGGGAGCACCTCCGGCAGCCATCTGATGAGGTCATTATATTGATTCATCAAATCAGCACATCGGTGAATTAGTACCCTTTTACACTGTCCTTACATCCCAGGATCTGATTCTGGGTTGTCTGCTTAGGCCTCAATTATATGAGCCTCCACTGCCATATAATCTGGGATAATCAGATAATCTGGGATCAGATCCTGGAATATAGGCCGGTGTAGAAGTGGCCTTAGTTATCCTTGGAAGAGAGGAATTGAATTCAGGAGGACTTAAATTTTAATTCAAGTTTGGATCTAGTCAACAGCTACCCATACAGTCATCAGATTCAAGCATTGTCAAAAGAAAGAAAACTCTATTTGAGCTCTCAAGGCTCACTCAAACATGTGCCTGCTCATTTTACATGCTCCTGGCACAGTTTGTAATAATCAGATAGAACTGAATCAAATGATCATCACTTTTGTAATCACATTCACTAGCATATAAAATTAATTGGGGTTCTGACTTACAGCCGATGCCTCGTAGGATTAAGAGTTACAGCAGGATATTTGGCTTTCCGTCACAAATGTTTGGAACAACGCAATGATACCCTCCCAATACAATTCACATAGTGTTGGAATTAGACAGTATCTAACTAAGCTGAAGCTCTGTGAAACCCACAATGATATTTTTATCTGTGTTTAAGACTACACATACATGGCAGAGAAATGTTGATAGGAAGAAATTTTACTCATTTAAGGAGGAGTGGTCTACTGATAACATGGATTTATTTATTCATTTATTTTTATTTATCCTATTTATACCCTGCCTTTCTCAACCCCATAAGGGACTCAAGGAGGCTTACATTTATAGACAACGGTTTGATGCCATGTAAACATACATACATAATAAAATAAACATATAATTAAAACAATCATTAAAATATATCAAACCTTAAAACACTCATTAAAATCACATTATCTAAAAACATAATCCATGGCCATTGCACTATTCATAATTCTCTAGTGGGTTACTAACTGAACGCTTGATCCCACATCCATGTCTTTAGCCTTTTCCGGAAAGTCAGGAGGGAGAGGGCTGATCTGATTTCATTAGGGGGGGAGTTCCATAGCTGAGGCGACGCCTTCCCAGACAATTTTAACCTCCTAGCTGGCTCATAGAGGGTGATATTCAGACAGGTAAACTGGGCTGGAACCATTTAGGACTGTATAGGCTAAAGCCAGCACTTTGAATTGTGCTCAGTAGCAGACCGGCAGCCCGTGGAGCTGGCGTAACAGAGGAGCTGTATGCTCCCTGTATCCCACTTCGGTGAGAAATCTGGCTGCCGCCCGTGGGGTTCAATACTGGGTGGGACAGTATTGAATCTTGCAGGACCCCACTAGACAATGGCTGTGGGGCCAAGCAGGTGTCCCCCAGCAATTGCTAAAAGGGCACATGAATGGGCCATACAGCAAATCAAGCTTTAACCGTCCTAGAAGCCAATGTGACTAGTCTGAGATTTTTGGATTTTGCACATAGCAGAAGGAAACTGGGACTCATTAGAAAATATGACAATGCTTGGTAAGGCAGGGGGCAATAGGAAAAGAGAAAGACTCCAGTACGCATGGATGGATTCAACCAAGGAACCCAAAGCCTTGAGGATGCAGAACCTGAATGAAGCTGCTGATAACAGGGAGACTAGGTTTCTAATTCATAGGATCAACTTAAGTTGAAATTGACTTAATGGCAATTAACAACAAAAATGTGAATATATACATTGCTGAACATAGACAATGTGTTCAGAGATGCTTGCATTTATATAGTTTATTCTGAAATCTGAAAGCCAAAATACACTGACATCCAAAATAATCCATTATGGGTGGCTCAGAGAGTGACACCTTTGTTTTCTGATAGTTTAATGTTGACATACATTGCTTCATCAACAAAAGTATTTTAAAATATTATATACAAATTTCTTCAGGTTATGTGTATAATCTACATAAATAAAAATGTAATGTCCGTTTGTAGGATTAACATAATTCAAAAACCACTGGACGAATTGACACCAAATTTGAACACAATACACTTATCAGGCCAACAAGTGACCATCACTCATAAAAACACTGAAAAACACAGCAGAAGAGACTTAAAAAGCCAAAAAATAAAAAAATACATTATAACGCATGTGCAAAACCACATATATAAATGCAAAACACATATATACACACACACACACATATATATATATACACATATATACACACACAAAACACATATACACAGACTGGGCCACAGCAATGCGTGGCAGGGGACGGCTAGTATGTATATAAAACAGAAATGAATTTCACATTTACACTTGGGTCTCATCTCGAAAATATCTCCTTATGTACATACAAGTATGACAAAATCCAAAAAACATCTAAAGTCCTAAACACTTAAAAAAATATGTGTTGGGAGCACTGGATGTAGCATATGTCTAGTAGGTTTCTTGGCTAAGCAGGTGTCTGGACCTGAAAACCAGGCCTACCGTGTGCCTGATCGTTTTCTTTTTAAGTCATTAACATTTTAAAATCAAAGGTGTCATTAAACACAGCTATAATATAATGTGCAGTTAGTTTAATTTTGAATTATTCGCACAATTTTATTGTAACCCTGAAAAACAGTCCATTTAGATCTCTGTTGATAATCACCATCTGTTTCTAATCAAACTGAGACAATTAACACATTAAAATCCTTAATTAGCATTGTGTGTGTATTTCCCCCAAATTGCTTTCTGTTATGTTTATGGAAATGAGGAGGGGCAGCCATGCTAGTTAGTTATTCTTCAATTACGTTTACTACTTCATTTTTCAAAAATAAGGAAACTAACTTACCATATGTGCAAAAAAACAATAGCCAAAACTGGAATACGTGAACCAACTTTTCAGAACTTCTCTGAGAATAATGAAGTCACAATGAGGCAAGAAGAGGATGCAAGTAAAGCATCACAGTTCAAAGAAAATAATGAAGGATACATTACTATGTTCTAGAAAAGATACATCATCCAGCAGAAAGACCCAGGATCATGTTTCAATAAAGACAGACCAAACCAGTTTGCCATGCAAGAGGTAACTCACCCAAGACAAAGGCAAAGGGTAGTTATGGGAGAGCTTTTTGGAGCACCAAAAAGAGAGGCCAGGTGGTGGTGACCTGAACCAGCCATAGCCTGTGAGAGGGGCATGGCTTGGCTTACTTAAGGCAACCTGCCTCTCTCAAAGGCCTTTTTGTCTATAGCTATAATTTGGCGATGGTCACTGGAAAAGTCTCTTAAAGTATTGCTTGTGCGGCTGGGAAAGGAACTACTACTCTTGGAGATTGAATGGAAGGTTAACTCACTCTTCTAAAGTTATATGGCCTAAGGGAGGGATACTCCCCTGCCCAGGAAGACCTTCCTGTTTGATCATGTCAGAGTAGCAACCCATGTGTGTTGAGTCAGCACTCAAGGTCTGGTAATTCTTCCAGGGTGCAATGAACATTGTTATGGGGGTTAACATCTGGCCCTCATCAGTAGACACGCTTTTAGTTGCTTCTCCCCTATTACTTGATGATTCTCCAGCAGAGTCTGGATTACATGTCAAGTCAAATAAATGGACAATTATTCATCCATATTTCTGTGACAGGCCTCGTTATTTGGTGGCAGGGCTTCAAAAGTGGAGTATCTAAATAAGAGGTTTAGCCTTTTGTAAAACAAGACACATCTAAATGATA